AGGATCATAAACCTAAAGGCTTTGCTACGGATATAAATAAGAAGGAATTCAAATCTAAGGGTTACTACTTTTATGATGGATCGTATAAATCATGATAGTGAACTAAATGACAAGCCCTCAACACCTTGATGGAAAGGAAAGAATGCGCTATTAAGAATCGAAACAAATGGGTTATTGTGTATGCTCAATGCCCTAAATGTCAAGATCCCACACAAGACATAATCAAATGACGGGTTGATGTATATGGACATGGACATAAATGGTAAGGCCACCTTTGTCATGCTAGACATAGGTGCCATACATAACTTTACGGTTGAGAACAAGGTCAAGAGACTTGGTTTGGTGATAACCAAGTCATTTGGAAATATAAAGATGATGAATATTTCTCTTAAACCTACTAGTGGTGTGACACATGAGATAAGCCTTGGTAATGGTACATGAAAGAGGACGTTAGATTGAATAGTTATCGTAATAGACAACTACTAGATTGTGTTAGGCATGGAGTTTTTTCAAGTAAGCCAAAGTCATACCTATACCATGTTTACAGTAGATGATAATCCTAAAGGAAGAGACATCATACATTATGCCACCTAAGATATGTGACAAAATTGATATAAGACTTATTTATGCCATATAAGTAAAAGAAAATGGAAATACTTGACAACAATAAGGAAAAATGGGCTGATGGAAATGATGATGGTGAGATGTCTAAGAAAATCACCAAGGTATTGGATGAGTTTGATGATATGATGCCATCGAGTTGCCCAATAAGTTACCACCTAAGAAGGAGGGTGGTAATCAGATTGAATTGGTGTTTGGTGCTAAGTCAATAGCTATGAAACCTTACCAAATGACCTCTACTAAGTTGGAGGAATTGAGGAAGCAATTAAAGATCACATTGGAGTCGGGAAAAATCTAACCATTTAAATCTTCTTATGGTTCACCTTGTACTATTCTAAAAAAAGCATGATGGATTATTAAGGATGTGCTAGACTATAGAGGATGGAATAAGGTTACAAAAAGGACACAAACCTAATTTTGTTGATAACATACTTTTTTAATTGGTTAGAAAAAGCCTTATTTCATATCAAATTTAACTTAAGATTGAGGTATTACCAAGTCCGACTTCGTATTAAAGATGTGCCAAAGACAACACATGTGATAAAATATAGATCCTATGAATTCCTTGTTATGTACCTTGATGAAATAAGTATTTTTCATACTTAAATTAGTTTGTAGTGGCCTACCTATGATATTATGATCTGTAGCCCGACACTAGAGGAGCATATAGATCACATATTAAGTTCAAAGCATTAAAAAAAAATGAGTTGTATGTCAAAAAAGAAAAAATGCTTATTTATAAAAGAGAAAATACTCTTTTTAGGACATAAGATTAAAGATGGAAGGTTGATGATGGATGTGGAAAATGTTAAAGCTATCTTAGAATAGAAAAAACCAACTAAAGTGCTAGATCTTTATGCTTTTCTCGGATTAGTAAACTATTATTATTGCTTCATTCATGAATCTCTTATTAACTTGCTAAAAAAGAAAAAGACATGTGAGTGGATTGATCGATGCTTGAAAGCTTTTGAGAAGTTAAAGAGAGGTTTCCGAAGGAGGCTGGTATTGAGCCTAGTAGATCTAACCAAGCCATATGAGGTACAAACTAATTCCTCTAATTTTACAATAGGTGGTGTTTTGATGAAGGAGCAACACCTTATAGCCTATCAAAGATAGAAGTTAAATGACATCAAAAGTCAATACATAGTATAAGAGAAGAAGATGATTGTAGTGATGCATTACTTACATAACTGGAGGCACTATATGTTAAGGTCTTAGTTTATAGTGAATACCGATAATATAGCCATGAGTTACTTTTTGACTTAGAAGAAATTGATGTCAAAGTAAACTCGTTGGCAAGAATTCCTTGTTGAATTTAATTATACCTTTAAGTATAAGTCAGTTAGGTAAGGCTAATGTAATAGTAAATGCTCTCGATAGGAAGGCCGAGTTACATCATATAACACAAGTAGATGGAAAGATCATGTTCAAGATCAACGAAGAAATGAAGTAATCCTATAGCCAAGATTTTGATAGCCCTTACCAAAGAGGACAAAAAAAATAAAAAATTATAGGACAAAAGATGGCATTCTCTACATAAAAAGGAGAAGAATACACGTTTCTAGATGGAAAAACCTACAATGGGACGTAATAAAGGAATTTTATGAGTCGGTGTAGGTTGGACATTAAAGACAATAGTGCCCTAAGGTATTATTAGAAGGACGTAATACTAGTCGCAGCTTGCACGATGATGTGGAGCCCCTAGGAAATTGTTACGACCTTTGTTTATCATAGAGAGACCATGTGAGACAATAACCATAAACTATATTATCGCATTGCCTAAGTCTAAAAAGAATACTATTAAATTGTTTTTCAAACATGTGGTGAAATATTATAGTGTGTTACGATATATCATTAGTGATCGAGATCCTTGATTCATCAAAAAGTTATGGATTGAACTCTTTGAACTATTAGGTTCAAAGTTGTACTACTCCATATGTTTCCACTTGTAGACGGATGTACGTACCGAATGGTTTAATGCATTTCTAGAGATATACTTGAAGCACTTTGTGAGTGCTAGCTAATGAGATTAAGCTAAATTGTTAGATGTTGCCTAATTCTTTTACAACCTATAGAGGAGTCGATCTACTAGCAAAAGTTTATTTAAGATATTAACGGACCGTAAGCCACCTACTCTACATAGAGTGGTACTTGATGACAAGTACTAAGGAAACAACCCTATCGCGTATTCTTTAGGCAAGTGATGAAAGGAACATGCGGACTTCACATACATGTACTTAAACAAGGCTATCAAGAAGATAAAGAAATTGGTTTACAAGAGACTAAGGGACGTGAAGTTTTGATCAAGATACAAAGTGATGGTAAAGTTACTATCACAAGGTCAAAAAGCTTTTCAAAAGGTGTAGAAGATCCCGATACGTTGATATAAAGGATTGTTTGGGATAGTGCACAAGGTGCGAGAGGTGTGTTATCACCTAAAGTTGTCATCGAAGTTAAAGATCCATCCAATGTTCCATATGAGTATGCTGAAGCCGTATCATGTGGGTGATGAGCATAGTTTAAATAACGGCCTTTACATTATATAACGGTCGTTATATACTAATTTTGGAGTATCTCGTTATCGTTATTTTAGTATTATAGTAAGCCTTAATCCACGATAGCAACTTTGATCGTTTTTTCAATCGTCCATGATTTAAAACTATGATGATGAGGTTTCAAGTTGAGGAGTTTCTCATATGACGTCTACAATAATGATTGACTTTTATGAAAAAAAGGTTAATAACATACTTGATGACCGCGCAATTCAACGTAGTAGCGTGCCACCAAAGGAGTACTATGTAAAATAAAAAAGACTACCATAACGGGAATCTATAAAAGCCTTATGGCAATTTGAGCGAGAAGATCAAAGAGTATCACAAAAGCGCTACAAAGACGTCATAGAACAGGTGGGAAGCGTTACGCCATGTGAAGAAGGGACAAGATAATGGAGGTTAGAAAAAATTTATGAAAGACTTTAGAAACTTGGAGAGAATGCTAGATAGACTTGAAAATCGTTAAAAGTCTCTAGAGAATTGGAGAAGTCTCTAGAGAATTGGAGAGCTGTACTTGAGAAATTAGAAAATCTCCTAAATAGTTTTAGAGAGTTCCTAGGTAATTTTAGTATGTACATATCTAAAATGTTTTTTATAAAAATCTAGATAAGAGAATTTTAGAAAATTAATTGTAATCATTGGATCGAATTGGTCCCAACCATTCATCAAAGAAGTGAAAGCCTATAAATAAATAAGGTCTTTATTTGGTTAAATCATCCAAAAGGGTTGTAATCCAAGAGTTGTAAGCATTTTTTCAAATAACACAAGGAATTTTTATAACATCTCTCTTGTTTAATTTTCTTGATTCACAACTTACTACGAGAAAAATGATGACTTTGTTTGGCTTGGGAGATAAATGAGTCACGTGACACACAGTGAGCTTGGAAAGAAAAAACCAAGTCTGTGACAATATACTGGCATAGATTAAAATACCAGGTCCTAAACCCAGATAAAGGAGGAGAGTTGCAGCACGTAGACAGCCGGCATAAAACTCTCTTTAATATAAAATGTTTTTTTTTTTTAATGGATAACAAATGAGATTTTATTCAGAGGATAGAAAAGCAAAGGATATTTTCCTTTATCCAAATACTCTTACGCAGGATTACGCAGAAATAGACGAGGCTGGAGAGGCTAAACTATGAGCTACTGCATTGGTGCTTCTCTGACTATAGTCGTAAGAGAAACCATCAGAGGATAGAAAAGCAAGAATATTTAATACTTTTACGCAGGAATACGCAGGAATAGACGAGGCTAGAGAGGCTAAACTATGAGCTACTGCATTGGTGCTTCTATGACTATAGTTGTAAGAGAAACTATCAAAGCATTCCTATGTTATACCGGCCTTTGGAGACACCATTCGTAAAGGCAGGGCTACACACCAACAAAGCATCTTTCACGCTTTACAAACTCCAGAAAGCAATTCCTGATAACTTGTCCCTCTACTCTTTCATCATTTATTGATTGCTGAATCAAGAACATATAAATAACAGCCCGGTTCCACCCTAACCCTCCTTCCCCAGGGCTCTCAGACACGTATTTTGTAATCAAATGGTTAATTTAAGGAATTTAACTTCATGGGATTGATAGATATTACATGTAATAAGGTAACATGTGAAAAAAAAATTTTCATTATTTTGAATATCAAAACTTTGGATCAGTATGTTTGTAGTGCATCATAATCGTGCCTCTGATAAGGGGGAAAAAAGAAGAAACATATGTAGCATAGATAAACGGGTCTCTTAAAAGTATTCATCATAATTCATATGAAAGCACAGCTCATCAAGACCACACTTCCCTTGCATAAGATGACTTTGTCGCAGTGCATGTCTATGTAATAACAGTTGGTGCAGATCGGCCAGTGAATTCCTGCATCTTAGATAGCCCGAGAGCAACCTCCACCTGCAAAGAGGTGCATAAAAATCAGCCTCAAGAACTAATGAGATGGACCATAAAGATAGATGAAATATGGGATCTTACAAGAGGAGCAAGTGCATCTTGTGAATCTCTTCCAGTTTTTGATGGATCCTTCTCATATTGCTCAATGTAGAGTCTAATGGTGGCACCTTCTGAACCAGTTCCTGAGAGACGGAACACCTGCATCCATGTTCATCAAGATGAAAATCCGTAATGAATGTACTACAAAAAATAATACTTCAGCAATAAATGAAACAATTCAGGACATTTCAGGTTAATTGCATAAGACATCAACTAAAATGGATCCATATACTTCCATAAGAATCATTATACCTTGCAGGCACAACAACAATAAAGAAAATGTTTTTAAAAAAAAAAAAAAAAACAGCAATCAAATGCAAATGCAATTGAAACTGCAAAAGACATACACAATCAAGTAAGGCTTCAAACACAAAGCTTCGATCACACAAGCAATCTTTTGTCCCGCACTGATCTATGTCCTACTCCACAGGCATTACTCAAACTGAAAGCTTTGCAACCAAGAGCAGAAGCTTACCAGTCTTGAGCCATCCTCAAACAAATATCGAATACCCTGGTGCTTTGAGATGGAACTGTCAACAGGATCTTTGTATTCAAACTCATCTGCATGAACAACCTTTGAAACATCTGATCGTATCCCACACACAATCCTGTGTAAATAAACAGTGCAAGTTCCTTAAGTATTTGTTTAAAACAAAATTAAGATAGATGATAAATTAATTAATCACTAAGCCTTTCTGTTGCATTTCTTAATATCAATCCTATTTTGAAACAGCTTTAGGCCAATAATTAGATGATTTTAAGCTCTTCTCCCCCTTTACTTTATTTTTTTATAGAGGATAACCAAAAGATGAATTATGCAGCAGAAAACTGGCTAACTAATTTTTAGTGACTAAATGAGAAGAATTAGTGTAAATAGAATGGAGATAAAGGCTGCAAACTCATTGTTCATGAGTATTTAAGCAATTCAATTTTAATGCTCAACATACTCTATCAAATCTATGTCAAAGGCTGTCAACCTCCGGCTCTTAGTCAGAGATCTTAAATTAGCTCCCCTTAGGCTACAAATTTCTGGGCCATCTTACCAACAACATGGTGATGTTTCACCACCCAAGAAAATATCTAATAAAAATTTGCTTCAGGTTGAGACAAAAATATAAATACCAGACAACTGGCACTGGTCTTGTTCAGTCCTCATTACTTGGCACGGTACCTTCTGACCTACAATCTACATCAATGTCATCCTATTCTTATAACATTTGAGTTCCTAATTTATATAGGGCTATAGCCAAATAGTCCAAACTTCAAATCAAACTGAAAAAAGGTAATGTCTAGGAAAACTATAACTAGGACTTTGCACCTAGGACTATAGGTGGAAACGAAGCACAGAATGTGAAAAACTTCAACAAATCCAAGTGTTGGGCTTCACACAGCTTAAAAAAAAACGAAAATGTAAAAGTGCAAGTTCCATATATAGAAGCCAAGTTAGAATTCAAACATTGTGCACACTAGATGAATACAAGTTCAAGGTGTTTTATTTGGTAACTTAAAATAAGTAGAACAAAATAAAGGGCACTTGATAAAATAGTTGCATCCCTTTCTCAAATGGATGAATGAAAATGCTTGCTTGATAAAGAACATGAGTTCAAGGGTGTATAACCAGACATACTTATTAACTTCACTAAGGGAAGACTGCAGTTTGACCAAGTATGCCATTAGTTCCTTTGCTGCACCTGCATCAACATTCTTCAAGCACCATGAACCAGTCACTTGGCAGTCTAAGATCTACTGTTTCTAAAGATAGGATGAAAACATTTAGAAAACAAAGTACCTCATAGTCATATCGAGTATAGTAGTGGCGACCATAGGAAGACCAATGGCTGCGAACTATATCTTCAACTGTCACGAGTTTTCCCCCATCAAGATTTTGTTTATTCTTGTAAGCCAGTATGGATAGCCAAGCCAGAACGGCCCAAATTCCATCCTTCTCACGTATGTGGTCTGAGCCTGTTTGCAGATGCCATTAGAAAACAGCCTTACTCAATTTGATAAGAATTCCAAACATAAGATGATTTAAACATGCAGAAACACAGAGGACTAACCAGTTCCAAAACTCTCTTCCCCACAAACTGAACATAATCCAGCATCCATCAAATTACCAAAAAATTTCCATCCAGTTGGAACCTGGCATTCAAACAGCAAAAAACCTAGTTATGTGATCGTACAGTAGCATTGGAGGAACCATATACAAATCATGGCATGGAATACCTCAAAAAATTTTAAATTCAAATTTTTGGCCACAACATCGAGGGCAGCTGAAGTCGGCATGCTCCTGGAAATAGCAAATAAAGATATTACACAAATTTCTGTGGAAAAAGGCATCAAATAACAAAAGTATTTACTACCTAATCAATGAGATATGGCCAGTATTCCCTGGATAATATCAAGAATTTTACAGATTTGTTAAGTTTCTAGCAAACATGAGATGCAATGCAAGCAGTTTAGGTCAGTTTAAATATACCAAAACAAGAAAAAGGTTACAGCATCTGCACATACGAGATCGAAACAAAACAGTATTATATAACTCAGTGCTCTTCCTCATAATTAATGAACTTGTAAAGATTCTCTACAATGTAACTTAAAAGGCAACTTATTTCAACAAAACAGCTTTTGTTATATAAGATGCAGAGATAAGCACATGTAAAAGTAACCACACATCTCCAATGCTGTATAAATCGGATATTAATACAATTCCCTAACCTATTAGGTTCTCTACCATCCTGTTCTTTTTATTATCCATCTTTTTTTCTTTTTCTTTTTCTTTTTTTCCCCTTTTTTTGACTTTCCATTTTATTCTTTGAAGCTTTTGCAATGGGAGTTGTATGGAGTAAATAAGCTTTGATGTCTTAGAAAACAAAGGGGACAGTGTTAATTGCTAGCCATGGTTTTAACTGTAGAATTACAAGTTTTTCCACTTTACAGACAATAATAATCTAGTTTGATTGAGAATATCATTTCTGGTATGCCTCTCTTTGCTTTGTATAGAGAATATTAATTAAAGGGCATGTCATCCACTGCAATCCATTAAGAACAATCAGCAACTAAACACTGTACATACAAGGAGATAAACGAAGGTAAGCAAAGCAGTGTTTTAGAACCTGGCAACTCCTTTTAGGCCTGCAGAGAAATATGGTATTGCCTCCACTGCATTAGCAGCAATGATGGCAACGGAATCGGATGGAGTAACAAAGAACCTGTTAAAGTAGCAGGAGTTGGAAATGCAAGATTTAGGTGTGAAAATAACTTCTTTAATAATAATAATAACAACAACAATAACAATAAAACAACACTAGAGGTTGGGCTACCTTTTACCGAGGATCATATTGCGATCTGCATCACCATCAGCAGCAGCACCAAATTCTGGTGGTTCAACTTCAGAGTTTGATTTACCCAATCCCATACAATCAACCAACTCCTTTGCATAAGTGAGATTGGGATCTGGATGCCCTCCTCCAAAGTCCTCCTGTTTGCATTGGCCAAACACATACAGGAAAAATTAAAAAACAGTGAGATTAGGCTGCAAAGTGAGCTCATTAATCGCTTATCTCATACAGTCGTCACAAACTTGTTAGCACCTTGGGTACGCAGTTCAATAAGGAGCTCTCTTGTGCTCCAAGCTCTTCCACAAAAATGCGGTTTGCATAAGCCCCAGCAACTCCATGTAGTGCATCATAGCTTTAACACAATGCCTCAGCGAAAGTTATTATATAAAGCATATATGAGAAACAGAAACTTGCATGAGATGCAAATGAAACCATCTAAATACCAGAACGTGAATTTTGGTGAGGAAAGCAGCTTCCGGATGGACTCAAAGTCAAAAATTGACCTGGGCAATTTTTAAAGTAACATTCAGTATTTGAGAGGATAACATGATCGGTTAGGTTACAAATTTTGAATAATAAGATGATCCTCAAATAGCCTATCATTCATACAAATAATACAGCAGAATAAATCTCAAATGTAAGCCTGCATAGCAAGAGGAAATCATACCGTAACATTTTACAGCATACATAAGAACCTGATCACCATATAAAATATTGGCTACTTTAGAAAAGAATATTTTGCACTGTGCATTACCCCTTACTTCTACTGAAACATAAATTTTTTTACTTAGCCAATTCCGATAAAAAATACCAAAAAACAAGTCATAATGCTTTCATTTTTTTAAACTACATAGATATAATAAATCCTTCACTGAGTTATATTTTAATTTTTTAGTATAGACCATCAAGCAAAAATAATACAACAAGATTCTACCATCACAAACTACTGACTCTACTTAAGCATACGCATTTACCATGCCAGAGAATTAATGGTGCAAAGTCTTGAAGCTTGACTTCAAAGACCGAAAGGGCTGAGTCAATTTGAACACAAAGTTATAAGAATTACATTTTGAAGATTAAACGAGTTCATGTCATTTCATTTATTTATGAAACAAGAAACTCCTCATGGCCATCCAAGGAGCATCCAAAATTATTTACATTCTTCTGCATCATGCATGCCAATGCCAATAATTAACATATTTAGATGCTCCTGTAAGCTACATAACATGCTGCATAATTCAGAAGGGGAAATGAAACACAGAGAGGGGAAGACTATGAAAAGCTCATAAAGTTTGCCTACAAGTACAAGTGATTGGCTATAGCTAAATAAATAGCATCATAAATCATATTCATTGGACTGTCCTCATAGAACACAATGACAGAGAACAAGCAGTTAGACAGTAAACAGCTTACTTCATCAATTTTACATAATCGCTCGCCGAGTCAAAAACCTCAACATCAAATTGTCCCTCGGGTCCATTAAAGCTAGTTACACCGATTGCCGCAATATCCACCTGGATGAAATTAAAAAATCATGGCATACAAACATATTTAACGAAACATGCTAGCAGTTTGACCAAAACACTAAGGGGAAATGAAACATAAAGAGGCCAAGATGAAGGATATACATCAGGCACATCTGTCATTAAGTACTCCTTTATCGTTTTGGTGTTCTCATATATCTTATCCGTTATTCCCTCAGGAGCAGGTCCACCGTTTTCCATGTTATATTTGATCCCAAAATCCTGCAGGAGGGGACAAAAAGGAGCATAATTAGATCATATTTGAGAGGATTCTTTATTATCGCACAAAAAGAAAAAAAAAAAAAAAAAAAGCACCCGGCCATTTGTTGTGGGATATAACAGATTTCTTTCATCTTTGTAGTACATGATTCGATGCTTTTAGCATGTATCAGATATCTGGTGACCAAACTGCTTTAATTATTTTAATTTGTTTGTATGCTACTCTCTTAGATTGGAGGCTGAGTTGCCCTCCATTTTGTGATTGCCCTTCCACTGCTTTCACTATTTAAACATTTTCCTTTATCCCAATAAAACATACGAAACTGAAGTCAACTTTCAAACAACAAAATATCTGGCTATTTAATTTGTTGTTCTTGTGGGATGCTAAATAGTCACTAATAATGATTCATATTCTCTTTCTATTTGAGGCACTCTATCCTTTTTCCTTTCGTCCAAATCATGTATAGTAAAATGGAGGAGCAATGGTTGCCATTATAAATCACAATCCCAGACCAAAAGAAAAGCACAAATAGTTTCTATTTACCTCATTTGGACCACCTGGATTGTGACTTGCTGTCAATATGAATGCTCCAGTCGCCCTGGATCCCTGATATTCAAGTTCAGGAGTATAAAACTCATTATGCATGGGACTACCATTGACATTATTGAAGAAAATGAGACCAGCTTTCTGAACAAGACAATAACTTACATCTACCCCAACTCTTTCACGTATTACAGCAGAAACAGCAGGAGTTGAAAGCAGTCCATTCTGACCAACCCAAACACGTCTTGCACCATTTCCAGCTGCCATCTTAATAATAATCTGGTGATTGAACAGAAGAAATTTGGATCAAATATGAATTTTCCATTGGGGTATATTGCATGAAATATAAAAGTATACTATTAACAGTCAGAAACAATTATGAGAACCCCCAGCATAGAGAACAAGAGAGAAACCTAGGGAGGAAATAGAAAATATTATTCGGATAGAAAAGGCTGTAAAAAAAGAGAATGAATGCTTACAACATGGAGAATGAGATATCATTGAAGAAAAGGATGCATAATAACATCAAGAGTTTTCAAACCGCTGAAAACCCATTAAATGCACCCTCCAATCTAAATGTAGCCATCCAAGAATGAATGCTAATAATGAAAGGCATATACCACATATCCCAAGCCACTCAGCACTATAAGAAAAGATGACTCTGAGTATGCCTTGGGAGCATTTCAACAATGGGCAGCCTATTATGCTCTAGAAACTAATAGCAATGCTCAAAAGCAGTAGCCAACAAAGCACCCATAACCAAAGCAAGTTATACAGCAGAGCTGTTTAGATAGATTGCCCATGCACTTCAACAAAGAATCACATTTTATGAAATGTGATTCAGAAAGTTCATGGAGATGTGTAAGAAGGGAGTTGTTGTAATGGTTCACATTACATAAAAGGTCAGATGTTAATACATTTAACTCTACATGCTGTATCAGTTGCAATGCTAGTGTCATGGAAGAGCAGAAATAAAAACTGTTTCTGTTCAATAATATGCACAAGCATCAAATGAAAGCTTCAACTGAGAATTTACAGCAGTTCATTCTACTGCCGTAAGCTGATTTCTTGAAAGCTGACTGCAGCCCTGACACATCACAGAAGAGTGATCTTCTAACTCAAATGCTTCACAGAGTGATGAAAATGATACCGGAAGCTTACTTCTTCATGCTTTAACATTTCACAAAAAATGTTGGATTGGGTATTAGATATCATTCAGCATACGTATTCTAGATTCTTCTGCTAATTAAGGAACTTAAAAAAGGTATTTATTTAGTGCAAAATATACAAAATAGGAGGAAATCAATCCAGTGAAAAGTAACGAAGGTTGATTGCAAATCTTAGGCCTTTCTACCCATCTACAGCCCAGTTATAGAAATATTCCAAACTTCAAAAAGAACTCAACATGTTTGTGATGTAATTTGACCATGCAAACACACACATACACAGACAGACAAGCATGCAAATATACAGGCACGAGCACGCATTGTCAACAGAGTTAGAAGAATTTCAAAAGCATGCTATAGAAAACAAGAAATAGATCTGACAGCAGAGTAATGATGGTTCCATAAAAAAAAAAGAATCACAATCTGAGAAAAATATAACTTCAGACACATGTTATATAATACCTGAATGGCATCCTTCGAGAAATAGCGGCCATCACCAGAAACAACAAGGGTAGCACCTGCTTATAATGAAAAAAGGAAAAGGGAACAAAAAAAAAAGTGCCAGAAAAAGTTAACTAAGCCACTTGCCATTCATTAAATCAGATAACGATAAACTAACTTGCCCAACATGACACACACAACAACAGTTTTGCATTACACAGACACAATGGAGATCAAATGTCAGTGATTATGGTAAAGACATGTAGAAGAACAAGAATGGACACTTCAGTAACCTCTGAAGTTTTTTAACTAAAACAGAACATTATATCCCACATTTCATGCACGCATGCAATAGGTCTACAAATTATTTCAATTAATCAAAGCTTTCAACTAGCAACAGATACGACAAGTATTTCTTAAGCATTATCAGGTTTTCTGCATCAAAGCATAAAATCCAAAATTAAGCTCTTAATATTTGAATCTTTTATCTAATGAAATATGGAGGATGGAGAAAGGCGTCCTTGCCTAGAGTAGGGGCCTAAAGTGCTGAAACACAGAATGGGTCACAAAGAGCAGAAAATTTTCAAGCTTAAAAAGTTTCTTTTTATGAAATATAAATTCAAAAGAAGGTAACCAAAGAGACCTCCCGATCCAGACCCCCACCTTTTTGTTTTACCAACTAAAATGTTTTATTTTTCCCAATTTTATGGTGCATGAGTTTCTACAACAGATCAACTTTCAAATGCAAACCATTCATTTCCATGGATCGAGGGGTTGTTCAGCTCAAGCAATTTACCCCTTGAGTTTGTGCCAGTAAAGTATCATCGTTGTGATTTCAAAATACAAATTTAACCCTTGAGTTTGTGCCACTAAAGTATCATCAGTGTGATTTTAAAATGTAAAACAGCCACTACAAATGACAGAAGTTTTCTCTAAATTGTACAAATAAACCATAGCATAGCTCAAGCATAAATGACAGAACTTTACCTCTAACTTTTTGAGCAGTAAGAGCATTGAAGGTTGCCTGAACAAAATTTTGCAGATAATGAGGTTGTTTGAACACCTTCACCTGAAAAGAACCAAACAACCAACACAAATATTAACTCAAACAAGAAAAAACCATTCTAACAAGAGCGGAAAAACCATAAGCCAGAGAAATCTTCATATTCCATCAAAAAGACATTTAACATCCCATCCCAGATTGGATTTTCATACAATTTGCCTTAAATCAATTGGTAAAATGAAAAGATTTAAAAAGTATGATTGCAACTAAGAAATACTAGTATTTAGATAGACAGAAAATGAATTTACGATTATTATAATTAATTGAGACTCAAAAAAAAAGTTTCATTCAATTCAAAGCGAAGGTATAAAAAAACAGAAATAGCTTATCAATGTACTTGCTCCACTGATCCAAAAACAACTTACAGCAGCAAATAATACTAATAATTGAATGCAATAAATCAAATTTGACACCGATCAAACAAATCATTAAAAAGAGAGAGTGAGAGTGAGAGAGATAGAGATCGGACGCACAAAATTTCAATTCAAATAGAAAAGAACTCCTAGCGAATGCAATGTAATGCGATGCAACAGATCTGATTGGCGATTGAGAATCTATGAAGAATAGAAAGTAAAGAAACCTTCTTGCGAAGTCCAGAAGTCCCAGGCTTCTGGCCATCGATAGGTGCAGTCTCCACTCGCGAAACATTGAACACCACCATTGTTTTGATTTCTTTCTACCTGGAGAACGCAAAAATAAAAATGAAAAAATTCAGAGATAAGAAGAAGTTTGTTAAGAGTTTCAAATTTTCGGTGCTTAGTTTGCTTACTAGATACGATACAAATGAACAGACCAGGTGAAAGAGAAAGGCGTGGCCCCTGGGTAATAGCAGTATATATATATATATATATATATATATATATGGCAAGGAAGCTTGATTCGATTCAATATAGATGGACAATTTAAACCTTTCAATTTTGGATTGGATTGTAATTTGGAGCCATCTGAAGTGGTTTTGGTTCAGTTAAGTACGCTCGGAGTGGTCAGCGGAGAGGGTGAGGCAATCAAGCAAAGACAAGACAGACAGGAAAAACAAATAATAATAATAATCTTATTTTCTTTTACTTTGAATAAAATGTGGTTTTGTTATTTTAATTTTAATTGACTTAATCGATTACATAAAAATAAATTGAACATTTGTTTCTAAAAAATATGCATCGTTTGATATTTAAAATATAAAAACACCAATTGATAAATTTTTAAAATTACAGACATTCAAATAGCATGCATATATATATATTAAGTTTTTAAAAGTAATTGAAATAATAATGCATACTTGGCATACAGATAATGGCAATAAAATATTTAACACCATATAAGCATGTATGTAATAAAATTTAATATAAATACTTGATATTTAACAATTCACAAGTTCAAACAGAAAAATATATATATATTTAAATAAAATAAAAAACTTGCACACTAAATATATAAAATTATTTACTAGTTGTTGGAATATTTTTTTAATAAAACATTAAAAGTTATAGCAACAGTTTTAATTAAATCTGTAGGTTTTTAAAAATGTTTTGATAACAATTTCATAACGGCCAATTCATTTAAAAAAGAAAATTTTAAAAAAATGTTTTTTTTTATTAAGTTAACTTACTTACTGTTTTCAATTTAATTGTAATAATTAATTATTAAAAACAGTTTTTTGTTTGATACTAACCGGTTGCCAACGCTACTCTGCGGGTTTAATAGAACAAAATTATTTTTAGATTTTAAAATTTTTTAAATACAATTTTTATTCAATTAATTTTTTCTAATGTTTTTTATAATTTTTTTGCTTTAAAAAAACATATATCATGCTTCTTTATTAATTAATTTTAACTAAAATATTAACCGAGAATTAAAAAAAACTTTAAGAATATATTTTTCATAATATTGTATTATAAAAAATAAAATTATAATTAATAGATAGACTTTTATAAAAACTAACAAATGAAAAAAAAATTCTTATATAACGTTGATGAGAAAATTAATTTTTGAAATTATCTGCGCAACGCTGCGGGTAGATAGAACAAAATAATTTTATTTTCATTAATTTTTTATTTAATTATTACTATTTTTGTGTTTTTCATAAAATTTATACTTAAAAAAGCATGATTTATTCTTTTTTATTTAGGGATTCTTAATAAAAACTTGTAATAATTTAAACCTAAAATATTAACTAAGAATTCAAAAACAAATACTTTAAAAATATATTTTTTTATAAGAATATATCAAAAAAAATAAAGTTATAATTAATGCATAGACTTACATAAAAATTAAATAATGAAAAAATAAATTTTTTATTTTTATTTAATGTTGATGAGAAGATAATTTTTTTAAAAAAAAGTATATGCATTTGATCTATATACATTATTTGCAAAATAATCAATAAAATCAGCATAAAAAGATATTTGGATAATTGGTTGGTTCCCCTAAAAAATTATTTTAATTATTTTATTTCAAATAAATTGGTTCTATAATGTTAAAAAAATATTCATAATCAATAATTTGTATTATGTTAGAAGATGTACTGATTAATTTTTAATAAAAACAATGATTCAATTTTTTTTATATACATCTTGAACATACTTAGTAAACTGAAACAAATTATTTGAAATACACTTTTTACCTTTTAGAATAATATATATATATATATATATATATATATATATATATATATATATATATGCAACTATTATTTAAAAATTCTAAAAATTCATGATATATGTTATATCAATTTATTTTTTAAAAAGAAAAAAGAAAAGGCAACCATGTTTTAAGATTTTATTCTAAAATTCAAACATAGAGTAAAATAAATTATATTTATCGAGTAAATAAAATTATATATAAAAATATTAATTGGACTAGAATTTTCATAAAAAAATGATAAATTTAAAGAATAAAATTTAAATAATAAAAGTAATAAAAGCTGAAGTATATGCTAAATTTAAAAAATAAAAAGATAATATATATATATATATATATATATATATATATATATAGAGAGAGAGAGAGAGAGAGAGACACACACACACACACGACACGCACTGCGTGAAAGAAAAATTGAAAGCTAAGGATTGAAAAACAATATTACAACATGAGGGAAAAAATAGATAAAAATGTTAAATCTGCATATTAATACCCAAAAACACACAAAAATTACTTAAATTGCCATCAAGTGAATAGTAATTTTATGCATGTAAACGATAAGTAAATAAAAATTTTAGGCATATGAACAGTTTGGATTATAGCACTACACTACGGACCAAACAAAACATATTTATTTCGATTTGATAATATATATTATGTTGCTGGTTAACTAAAACAACGAAAGAAAGAAAATCACGAAATCAGCGGACTGTTCAAAAAAAAAAAGGATAGAGAATCACAGAAGGAAAGTTGCATTAATTGGTACGTACCTGTCATCACTAAAACTATCTCACAATCATTGGGACTGGATGTCAATGTCAATGCTCGTGTGAATGCCTTGCTAACCTCTCGGTTATAAGTTTTTCGTCTCTCATTTGACAAGAAAAAATAAGTCATCAAACAATTGGCGGTACCAAAACAAGTAGTTGGGTATATGTCGCATGTTGTAATTCAAATTGGATACATAAAATGGAGAAAAAGGCATAAGGATCAGAGTAATTATTGGTGGTTTTTTTTCAAATGTCTTTCTCTTGAATCAGTAAAAATCTATTTCAAACATTAATCCAAATTATGTTTACAATTAACCACTTAAAAAATTATTTACTGCCAATACTAACAACCAAATGGTGATTTTTACTTTACAAGTGGGAGATCAAGGAGATTGTTTGTATAGAAATGGTAAAACATTAACTGGCGGATCAAATTCCAGTTTCATGATTCTTACATCCAATTAATGCGACCAAGCCATGGAATCGACATTTCCAGAAGCAAAAGCCAACCACAATACTTGCACGTCTTTACTTTCCCGACCCAAGCAAACACCCATTAATTTATCGGTCGGCTCGCCGCACGAGGATGGCGAACTTTCCCAAAATAGCACTGTTGGATTGGATAAATTTTGTTTTTTCGATACTCTAAAAAGGTCGGACCTTCCTCTTTGACTCACTCTACCCAAATCAATTTCTAATAACCTCAAGGAAAAGGAAAAGGAAAGGCACTTCTTTCGTCTCTTAAATAACTAACTCTCATCTTTTCCATTCATCTGTACTCAAAACAGAAAGAAAAGAAAAGACATGTCACAATCATCTCTAACAGCTCGCGGGCGGTTGGCCGTGCTCACTGCTCATTTAGTTGGAGCGCCACTCGAATCATGGGAGGAGGCGGGCATCCAGCGGTGGTGCGTGTCTGCTCAGGTCCCTCCTCCTGGAAACCTCAAGGGCTTGTTAACCGTGATCGATGAGAGGACGGGTAAGAAATACCAACTTCAGGTCTCTCAAGACGGGACCGTCAAAGCCTCTGATTTCAAGAAGGTATAATAATCTTTATTATCTATAATTCAATTCAATTCAATTTTGATTTTTTAGGTAGTAATTTTGATTGATTGATTTGCATGATGATGATGATACAGATCTCAACAGGAAAGAATGACAAGGGGCTGAAATTGTATGATCCAGGATATCTGAATACAGCACCTGTTATTTCAAAGATTTCATATATAGATGGAGATGAGGGTATCCTTAGATACAGAGGCTATCCTATCGAGGAATTGGCTGAGAGTAGTACCTTTTTGGAAGTAGCCTACCTTGTTTGTCAGTATACATCCTTTAATTGGAAAATTAACTTACTAATTATTATCATTTATGGTCATTAAGGTTTTAAACAACAGTTACTTTCCTTTTCAGTGTATGGGAATTTGCCATCTCAAAGTCAGTTAGCAGACTGGGAATTTGCTATTTCACAACATTCAGCTGTACCTCAGGGTGTTTTGGTGAGACCCTCTCTCTCTCTCTCTCTCTCTCTCTCTCTCTCTCTCTCTCTCTCTCTCTGTTTGTGCTATCGTGACATCAACTTTGGTTGCAAAATATTAAATGCTTTTGTAATTGTGTTCTGATTTAACTCTCAATTCGCCCCCTACAACTACACCTACTTTATCATTCACCACCCAGAACTAACTTTTATATCAACCACCAAACGCCCACACCCGACCACCACCACCCCCACCCCCCAACGCCCATCCTTCAACTTTAGTTCAATCACCCCTCCCAAATGGTTTTTCAAGTCCTTTCTGTTGTTGTTTTATTTCCTTTTTTCTTTTGTTCTAAAAAGGAATTTGATTAAAATAAAACAAAGTTGATCCAAATCATCTAGTGAGATATATGGAGGAAGCCATCTCCATTGCGTAAATTAATATGCATGTATATATATAAACTAATTTAACCAATTCATGCAAATTTAAGTAAATTAATTAAAATTGATGTGATTTAATTAAATTTCGAATTAAATTCATTTTTTAACAACCTTGATCGTAAGTTTTAATGAATGGGCTTGAAATTCGTCTATAGCTGTTTCCTATAACAATTATATGAAGAAGTCTTTTTACAAGTTAAACGAAGCTTTATTTTCTTTAAAGCTTTAGATTTTGTTTTGCAGGATATTATACAGGCGATGCCTCATGATGCACATCCAATGGGTGTGCTAGTAAGTGCAATGAGTTCTCTTTCCATCTTTCATCCTGATGCCAATCCAGCTCTTAGAGTAAGTTCATAGATTACCTTCAACAGTTCGAGCTTTATGTTTGTGTGTACTGTTTGCGTTGCATATAATGAACTTCGGCAATTGTTTATCTGATACCTCTCTGTTTTTTTTTTTTTTTTTATCTTTTCCCAACAAGTTAAAAGAGTAGATGAACTTAGTAATGGTAATAGTTTTCCTGGCTTAAAGGTGCCGCCTGACTTCTGAAGTAGTCACATGATTAGCATGGTTGTTGCAGTCTGGTATGAAATATTGTTTTCTTGTAGATTTCTCTCTCTCGCATTTTTTTTAAGTGGATGTGATGCGCATCAGTATTTTCTCATTCTTAAATGACTATGCCAATGTGTGTGCTTACTGCAATCGAACTTAATAGATTTTCATACAGTTTTCATGAAATTTTATTTGGTGCAGGGGCAAGATCTTTACAAGTCGAAACAAGTGAGGGACAAACAGATTGCACGCATTCTCGGAAAGGTTTGCTTAATTCAATTTCCTTACTTCTCTTGGACCTGAAAAGATGTGGTTTATGGACTACCCATGCTGTCAAACTCTTGATTGCAGCTTTTATAAACATAAATGCATATCTGTGTGTTTCAGCTTAAATTTGTTTGCAGCATTTAAGAAAATATGGCTTCAGCATCCTTAGTCATAGTTTGTCGATTGATGGATGTAAACTGTAATATTTTGCAGGCACCAACCATTGCAGCAGCAGCTTATTTGAGGTTGGCCGGCAGGCCTCCAGTTCTGCCTTCTAGCAACCTTTCTTATTCAGAAAACTTTCTCTACATGCTAGATTCATTGTACGTTATCTGGTCATCTTGTGTTCTTTTTTATGTCTGGATGACCATAAATATTCCTGTGATAATTCGTTCTCATTGATGATATTTCTACATGTTTTTCTCTATGACACTATATCCTTGTCATATTTGTTTCCATTTTCCTTTCATTTTCTTTTGAAAGGACATTGCTAAATGTATTTTTTCTCTCACTTCCTGGAAGAATGTATAGTAGGCTCAATTTATAAAGCTACAGAATGAGATGCGAATAATGCCCTATCTTTTTATCAAGATTTATTTCCATTTTTGTGATGCAGATTTTTCCATAACCTTTTACTTAATTAGGATTTGCTTTTCCTGGACTTTCAGGGGCAATAGGTCTTATAAACCGAATCCTCGACTGGCTAGAGTACTAGACATACTTTTCATACTGCATGCAGAACATGAAATGAATTGCTCCACTTCAGCTGCCCGACATCTTGCGTCCAGGTAGCCATATTACAAAAATCAAACAGCTTGTCTTTTTTCGCTTTCGTTTTCTGAAATTGCAGTGATGTAGATGTGTACACTGCTCTTGGTAGTAAAGCAGGCCTTCTCTTTTCTCATTTTCTTATCTGAATTTGCAGTGGTGTGGATGTATACACTGCTCTTGCTGGGGCTGTTGGAGCGTTATATGGTCCTCTTCACGGTGGAGCAAATGAGGTAACCATAATTTCATGCTTTCCCTCAAGCTATTTTATCCATACCTAAAAGGCTAAAACTGGCATGCCCGATAATTTTTTAGAATTTTATTTTGATCTGCTTCTAAGCCTGTTTCTACTTCATGGATTGTTATAGGCTGTGCTTAAGATGCTGAGTGAGATTGGAAGCATTGAAAACATTCCAGATTTCATTGAGGGTGTGAAGAACAGGTAATTGTTTCTTTTTAATTAAGTGGATTATGTCTGCCACAAATTTCATGATTACGCCACGTGCAAAATGCCTTTATTCCTTTAGAAAGTTTTCATTAATACTCTTACACGTCATTCTCCAGGAAGCGAAAGATGTCAGGTTTTGGGCACCGTGTGTATAAAAACTATGATCCTAGAGCAAAAGTCATTAAGAACCTGGCAGAGGAAGTGTTTTCAATCGTTGGCCGAGATCCTCTTATTGAGGTAATTTTCTACTCTATTATGCCGGGGGTTGGGTGGGGGGTTTGAATCCCACTGTTTTGTGTGCATAGTTGGAACTATGCTTGTTGGCGAACCTGTTTTTTCTTAGGAAAAAAAAATTATGAAAATTTTAGATATATACATTACAGTCAAATTGTGTTTCATCTCCAAATTCTTTATGCATGTGTTATGTGGTGTTTGCAGGTAGCTGTTGCCTTGGAAAAGGCTGCTCTAGCTGATGAATATTTTGTTAAGAGGAAGCTATATCCAAATGTTGATTTCTACTCTGGGTTAATATATAGGTACAGATAAGATATCATCAACTTTGCACCTCATAATTTAGTATATACACTGAAAATATATAAACCATGATTCCTAAAGGCATTGAAAAGAATTTATTATTTTCCTCAAAGAATAAAACGACTGTGACTGGAATTCTTATTCATAGGGCAATGGGATTCCCAACGGAGTTTTTCCCCGTCTTGTTTGCAATTCCTCGAATGGCTGGTTATTTAGCCCACTGGCGAGAGTCTCTGGATGATCCTGATACAAAAATAATGAGACCACAACAGGTTACTTCCCAACTCTTTCTTGAATTTCTTTTCCTCCTGAAACATGGAGCTTTTCTTATATCCTGAAATATGGGTCAAGTTGGTTTCGCTAGTGCAAGAATGCTATTTTATAAATCATCTTGACTAGTCAACTAATAAACCATCATTGGAACTTTAAATCATCTCGACTTCAATTCCATGAGCTACCAAGTTTTTTTTGTGGTAAAATGTAGAAACGGATTCTTTGATTGGTTTGGAGTAGTATTTTCTTGCTGGGGTGGACAAAAAGAATCTCTGTATACAACTTTTCAAACCAATCTGTTTGTCAAAACAATACCGGCCTCAATTATTTTGAATTAAATTTGTCCTTAATTATTATTGTACATTCCTTTTTTATTTTTTTTTAATCAGGTCCTGACCTTTGTCTAAAACAGAGTATGGCCTTGTCAGTTTACTTGGTGTGACATGATTGATTTTCAGTTCGCCATATAATCATCATCATCATGCATGCACATGCAACTAAATATTTGATAAAAAGTACTGGATTTTTAGAGATGGAAGGCTTCAATCCGTAGCTCAACCAAATACTTTGAGCTTCTAGCTAGGATTTCTTTTCTGTTGATTAACTCCTTGTATGCACTATTTCTAGGAAGAAGGTTTGCCAATATCCATTTTTCTTTTTAGCAATTTGTGATACGAGTCATCTGTTTGGTAATTCAGGTTTATACTGGGGAATGGTTGCGACATTATATGCCACTCAAAGAACGGATGCTACCAACTGATGCAGATAGGCTTGGCCAAGTTTCCATTTCAAATGCCTCTAGGCGACGACTTGCTGGATCTGGGGTTTAGCCTATTACTGGATTTATATTACTCGAGGAAAAGAAAGAAATAAATGACAAGTAACTTCTTGGATGAATAAATGTACCTTCGTTCGAGGCTTCTCCAGCGTAAAAGCATGAATGTCAATTTTTGTTAGATATCTGTCAGGTCCTAAAGTACAATGCCTGCACCATCTCCGTTTGTGTTCACAGACAACGTTGTATAATGAAATATTTGCAATTGCAAGATTGAAATCTATTAAATATTTCTCTTCATGCTGTGGCCCTATCTGTGTTTCCTTCTCTGTTCTCTCTGTTGACCCAGTGCTACCTTTTTTATTTTTTATCGGTACTTGTTATTGGCGATGGTGATTTTTTTTTTCATGATTTCAGCCTTGATAGAAAATGATTTTCTCCATGATTTTTTTATTCTTGATTCATTGTAATCTTTGTATACATGTGTGTTTAAATGGTTGATTTAGTTTTTTTTTCCCCCTAGATAAAGAAACAAATCGTCTATTTATTGGTTTATTTAGTTTCCTTTTCTAGATAAAGAAGCAAATTATAGAACACATGTATGAATTCATACGTGTTGGTTAATGAAAATGTATTGATTTTTAATACTACTTTAAAATTGTTTATGGCATCAGAGCTTCCTTTGTCCTTAAACAGATTTGACCCTTATCTTCTTCAAATCACCAAACTGGGATTTTGTCTTCTCAGTCTGAGATATCAGGCTCGAAAACCTCAACTAAAACACCTACAGTTCTCACTCAAAATTCAAACTCCACAGCTCAAGGCAATCTCCCCTCTCTTAGTGGTAATTTGATCTCTTTAAAAACATGTGCTCAAATTCTATTCAAACTCATTAAGGATATAGGAAATATGTTTCCTGAAAATCACAAATGATCAATCTTCTGTTTGTTTGTAACTTACTCGGATTTGTTGATGGATGACGACCATGCCCATCACAAACCGATCAAAATTTTAACTTCTGACTTCATCAAGATCATTTGGTGTCGTTGGCTATTTCAAGCCACAGTTCATAGCACTGTTAATCCTACTATCCACAATTGATCTACCTCATTCGCTGCTTGGAGCAAGTTAGAGTCAAATTCAAATTTTGCCAATTGTTCTAACACTCATATGCTCTCACTCTTCTCTCTCTCTCTCAATGCTCGTAAGGAAAGAAGGCATGTTAGTTGCAGAATACATGAACAAGGTTAAAAGCTTTGTCGATGATCTGACCATGATTGGTCACTTATTAAGTACGCTAATATTATGGCACCCTCCTTAAATATTTGGTAATGAGTTTAAATAGTTGAAGGCTGCAGTACTCCAATCACGTTTAAGGATTTATATGATAAGCTTCTTGACGAGGAACTAATGCAAAAGCATAGCGATAGTCAGAAAAATGAACCCCAAATTACTGCTTAATACACACAAAAAGGAGAAACAATCGGAATCGCTTTAACAAAGGCAAAGATAATGGAAATTACAATTCGAGACAAAATAATGATCCAAGCCAATGCTATTATTTCAGCCAACAGTCATTCTCGAGCCAGCAGCAACGATCTTACATTCAATCAAATCCAAACCGAGGCTATGGTTCTCTAGGTAACACCTCTTATCCTGGGCAATCATCTAATCTGACTCATTCTACTACTTGGCGTCCAAATCATATTCAGGACAACCAAGAATGATTTGCCAATTATGTGACAAGGCGGGACACACTGCTAAAACTTGTTGATCTAAAGCAAAGCCATTTTTTCAGCAGCCACAACCCATTCCATGGAAGGTGGTTCCAGCACATTTTCAAACAATTGGGTTCTTGATTCTGGAGCCACCCATCATATAATATCTGATTTTCAAAACCTTTCTGTCGGAAGATATTCAATCGTAAATGGAGGAGATTTAAAACTAGAATTAAGGAAATTAGGATGATTTGATTTAGTTCCGTATTTCTGGTTCCTCATTGCTAGTTTCTTAGAATAGCTTTCTGTACAGATTTAGTTTTCTAGAATAGCTTTATTTACAGATTTAGTTTCCTAGAATAGCCTCCTGTATGCCTATGTATTTGTATATTTGTATTCATTTAGACATACGGCAATACAACAGAATTATTCATCATATTTGCTTTCATGGTATCAGAGCAAAACTTCCTTCTGCCTCAAATTCTCTTCTGCCTAAACTCAACCTATTCTGATTCCACAAACATCCATGTGTAGTCCAAAAACACTCCCATGAATCTGTCAAATACCACTACAACCCAGAACCCCACTTCGGAATCTCACTCAATCCAGGTTACTACCATGAATTGAACTAAGAAACTTTCATGCGCCGGTCATAGCCTGTACGCATGTACGTTTATGGCAGGTGTAAAATTAGCTATTTGACATGAGAGAAGAAGGAGCCTACTGTCGACGATCCAACTCATCCGACGTGGATGCCGAGAACTCTATGGTGATGACTTTGTTAAGTTACGGAGACTAATGTGGATGGGGATATGCAGAGCCGGGACGATGGTCTTGCTAGTTGTTCACATTATAAATAAAGACAACATCATTTATATTTGTAGCCGTTACTTAAGAAAACATAATAAGAAATCCTAATACAACCATGGAGTAGACACCATTTTCGAATCACATAAAATCTTTATATTGTCCGATTGTTCTTGTTTTTCCTAATCTATTCTTTTACTTTATACGTTTCATGACAACGAGTATCAAAGCCTTAAGTTAGCGAGGGTAAGGAGGAACGATGACAAAAGAAGGAAAAGTGAAGATTGATAAATTTGATGGCAAAGACTTCGAGTTACGAAAGATGTAGATTGAAGATTATCCGTATCGAAAGAAGCTACACAACTCCTATCGGGGAAGAAACCGGAGGGGATAAAAGATGTTGATTGAGCTTTGTCGGATCACCAAGCTTTGAGTATTATTCAACTTATATCGACACAAACGTTGCTTTCACCATCATGAAAGAAAATACCACAACAAATCGATGATGGCATTGTCAAATATGTATAAGAAGTTATCTACCTCAAGCAAGGTATTTTTGATGCATAGATTATTCAATCGAAGATGACAAAAGATGCATATGTGACTAATCATATTAATGAAGTTAATGTATTGATCGGCTAATTAGAATCGATAAACATTGTGTTTGATGATGAAGTTAAGACAACGATTTTACTATCTTTATTTTTTTACTAAAACATCATCGTTTTGTTCTTATTGTGGTTTTTTATAGTTGAGTTTTGAAACAATTAGATGTTAATAATGCTTTTTTATAAGTTACTCTTACTAACAATGTTTACATGCGGCAGCTAATGGGTTTTGTTAATTATGTCTATAAGCTTTATAAAGCTATTTATAGTATTCGACAAGCTCTTTGTGCTCGGTATAATAAACTCGATCCTTTCTTATCGGTATTGGTTTTGCCAATTCAAGATATGACACTTTTTTATCCATTCTTCACACTTCCTCACATGTTATCTATTTTCTTGTGTATGTGGATGATATCATTATCACAAAAAGTCATGAAGGTGTAATACAAGACTTTATTGACAAACTGTTCTCTTTTAAAGAGCTTGAAGATCTCATTTACGTTCTAAGAGTTGAAGCTTCTATAACAAACACTAATTTAGTTCTTTCACAAAAAAAATTATCTTATAGACCTTCTTCTCAAGACCAACATGTTTTGTCTTGCTAAGGTTTCCACACCAATGTTAGCGGTGATACTCTTTGCCTTGATAATAGCTCTTTTCCTATGATCCCATCGAGTATTAGGATCACTCCAATGTCTATCTCTTACACGATTAGATGTTTCTTTGTCGTAAACAAACTTGCATAATCTATGCATCGTTCTACTATGACTAATTGGTTAGCTATGAAAAGAGTGCTTTGCTACTTAAAAAGCACCTCTAATTTTGAGCTATTTCTCTCCTCTAAAAATTCCTCCCATCTAAAAGTCTTTCCTAATATTGCTTGGTCGGGGATGTTAATTCTCAAGTCTCTACCTTGGCTTATGTTATTTTTCTTGGCTCTTATTCGATCGGTTGTTGCTCCAAAAAACAATCCATTGTTGCTTGTTACGCCACTAAGGTCGAGTATCGTGTCATTATTCGTTGCTACTTGCTAAAGTAAATTGGCTTATGCATCTACTAATTGAATTAGGTGTTCCACTAGTCTACTCTCTAATTATTTATTAGATTAAATACACTTTATGCCCTGTATTATACGGAACATATCGTTACAATCTCTCCACCCAAGTATAGTTCATAACAAACTTTGTATTATTAGATATTGGGGTAAAAAGAAAAAACCCTTATGTTAACATTTTCCATTAGCTTAACTATTTTTTATTAGTTGGCTAACGTCTAACCAATCAATTGGAGACACGTGTCAACTTAAGGGTAAAAATATTTACAAAAAAAAAAAATCGAGTTGTTTTCAATTTTTTAAGTTAACATAATTAATAATTATTATAAAATCATTAAAAATAAAAAAATCTAAAGAAATTATTTTTTTCAAATTTTAATGATTTTATAACAATTATTAATAAATAATTTTAAAAAAAAATCTAAAGAATTTTTAAAGATTTTACAATAAATATTAATAAAGAACATGTTTTTAAAAAAATTCTAAAGAATAGTTTTAAAAAACTAAAAAAATAATAATCGAATTTTTTTTCCAGATTTTTTATTAGAATAATTAATAATCATTAAAAATTTCATTAGATTTTTTTAAAAAAATTTATTTAATAATAATAATTATAAAATTGAAAAAAATGCTTTAGATTTTTTTTTTTACATTTTTGTATTAAAAATTATTATAAAACAATTAAAAAATGAAAAAAATTTCTTTATATATATTTTTTAAAATTTTCTTTATCAATAATTATTATAAAATCATTAAAATTTTTTGTTATTTTAAAATTTTCATTTATTGTTTTTTTAATTTTTTAAAATAATAAAATTTTTTTAATAATTTTATAATAATTATAGCTTTGAGAAATTGAAAAAAAAATTATTTTAAAATAAAATTATATTTTTATCCTTAAATTGGCACTTGTCGCTATTTAATTAATAAAATATTGATCAATTAATAAAAATTAGTCAATCTATGAAAAAGATAACAAAAGGGTTGCTTTATGCCAACGTTAAATAGTACAAGGCTGTTATGAATATATATGTATATCTAAAAGAGTTGTAATGATGTTTTGTACATGTACACAAAGTGTATTTGATCCTTGTTTATTGTGACAATGTGTGAGCTACTTATCTATGCTCTAATCGTTTTTTTTTTTTTTTTAATACTACTGTATGAAACAAATTGTTATTGATTTTCACTTTGTTTGTGATCAAATTGCAAAGAAAGCTCTTTGTGTATCTCATGTTCACATGGCACATCAGTTTGTTGATTCACTCACTAAGTCCCTTGCTAGGAAACTGTTTGTTGGTCGTATGTCCAATCTGTGCGTCCTTCTAAGAGCCATTCGCTTGCGAAGGCACAATAGAGAATGATTTTTTTTTTCTAGATTTTCTTCATGATTTCAGTCTTGATGGAGAATGATTTTCTTCATGGTTTCATATTTTTGATTGATTGTAATTCTTGTGTCTGTATTTATCGATTGATTTAGTTTTATTTCTAGATAAAGAAACATAGCACTCCTATGTAAATTCATATATTTTGGTTAATGGAAATATACAGACTTTTTACGCAATTCTAAAACTATTTGATTGGTAACTTGTCATCGACACCAATTAACAAGATTTGCTTCTTGAACAAATTTGGGTTTATTCAACTGATTAATCCATATGAGTTTTACCAACATAATGAATTTTATTTATTTATTTATTTATTTTTTTGAAATAAGGGAGCATGAAATTTGTAAATAGAGTAAATTATAAATTAGTCTCTCTTGTTCCAAAAATTGAATATTTAGTTTCTATGCTTTTAAATTTATTTGTAATTTAGTTTTTTTTTGCTTTTTTTTTAATTTTTTTGTTTTAAAAAATAAAAAATAAAATGAAAAATATGAAACTTGATGAGAAAAGAATATATTTTTTAAAATAAAAATAATATTAAATTAAACACGATCAATCCTGGTCAAAAGATTAATTAATAATTTTTAAAACATAAAAGACTAATTAGTTTGTTTCTGAAAACTAAAGGGACTAATTTATAATTTACTCAAACTAAATATGGCCCCGGCGCCCGCTCCAGGAGGGTGGTGGCGGTGGTGGTGGTGGTGGTGGTGGTGGTGGTGGTGTTCCCAGCGCGTAGTCCACCGACAAAACAGTAACTGAACAACTTATTAATCAAACTGTCGGTATTTACTTCGAAATAAGAGTGGAGAATAACTTTGAAGAGCGGAGCATAACTTTTATGGGGAATTAATAAATTGGTTGCAGGTTTGTTTTCTTTGAAGTGATACGTGGCGTATTCCTTTACTCCACAAATTCTGGAATGTTCGTTTCTGAGATGCTCCTAATTTTCGCTTATTTCCCAGGTTTTTACGCACTTATTTTGGACTTCGGCCACATGGACGAGCAGAACACCGCCAATTGTCTGGTTGTCTGCTTCCTTTGATATTTTAAGATGCATGATTTCTTCGTTCTTCCACCTTATAAAAGAACCTCAACATTCCTCACCAAATATCATCTCCACTGAGGAAAAACAAAACAAGAAATATAAAAACCCTTTTGGTTAATTAAAAGATTTCTGTTTTCTTTTCTTTTCTTTTTTTATCTCGCTAAATCTTGTCTCTCTTCCTCTGTTGATCGGTGAAGAGGGACAAACAGTTGCCATTTGCCAGCCTTCAAAAGCAATATTAATTAACAGCTAGGGTATTCTGCCTAGACACAAGCTGCTTCTGCTGCTATTTTACTTCAATATCCAATGGCCAAGAAGGTTAGAGGTTCACAATATTCTTGGATTGAGGTAGCTCCGGCTCCCATCATTTATCCTCACAAGCCTTCAAATTCTCCCAGTTTGGAGACAATAGCCGAAGAGGGTAACGAGGAACACGATGAAGATTCATAAGCCTCCCAATCCTCCTTATTTAGATCCTTAATTTTATTTTATACTTTTGGCTCTTTCGGGATTCAGTTGGCTACTACCCCTGCATCGCCAATGTTGAAGCTTCATTGCAGCAGTGCTCTGACTGAGCTGAAACCCCATATCAATTGGTGCCGCTGTCCAATGAATTTATAAATGTATCAATGCCTAGATATGTAGCCAACTTGGTGTAAATTTTGCAGATTAGTTTTTTGTATTTAATTTAGAGATATATATATTATATTTGGTGTCTTGCTGGATTAAAGTCAATGCATTTTTCTCATGCAAGTGGATCCATAAGTTACAAAGAGTGGCGTGGATAAAAAATTGCATTCTGCAACATGTCATCTAATTTATATTGCAGGACGTACGTCGTCCGAGTTGCCTGTTAGAACGACGTGTTGTTTAATGGAAATGTGGCATTTTATTTACTACTAAAATATGAGCAATGTAGATTCTATAATAAACCGTAAACGATTAGACCAGGATTTTTTTTTATTTTTTATTTTTACTTATTTTGTTTTTAACATAGATTCTCACATAAGAATGCCCGCATCAAGTCTAATTTTTTGAACAAAATCTAATTATTTGAACATCTATACTTCTCACAATCCCCATATTCAAAGAGCTAGATTCTTGCAATTAGCAAGCGGTGCGTGTCGATTGAGTAAATTATAACCTAGTCCTTGTATTTTTTTAAAAAATAATTTAACACTCCTATTTTAAAAAATTAATTTAATCTGTCTAAATTTGATCATCAAGTCAAGAAAAAAAAATAAAGAAAAATTGGTGTTAGCTCAACACTTCACTGACACTAATTTGTTAACAGAAAATAAGGATCAATTAATTATATTCGAAACAAATGGGACTAAATTATTTGGTTTTTCAAAAATAGGGATTAAGCTACAGTTAACTTTTAAAATATTATTTATGGAGGAAGTGGGGCAGGAGCATTTCTTTATTGTTATTATTATTACTTGATAAGCTTGAAGTCATGCCACTCTTTCTTGGCCGCCAATTAGGATCAGTGAGATCTTTTTTTTTTTTTTTTTTTAACAAATCCTTCCCAACACGAAGGTCCCACAGGCAATAATCAATGCTTTGAGAAAGTGTATGGCTACTGAGACAGAGAAGGGTTTCCCCTATGCCTGTTCTTGTCGCATCGCATGTGTTACGTACTTTTCCTCGCATGTTAAATATGGTTGTAGTAATTTTTTTAATAAACAATGTCGACGCGTTAGCGCGTTACTTTTTCATTTTTCCCTTCAATTATTGATGCTTTCATAAAGTGGCAACAACTCCATATATAATCCCACTCAGATCTCAAACTAATCTCAGCCGCTGCACAAAGTCCTAACCAGTCTCAAATAACCAAGCAACTGATCCTCTTTCTAAATTCAGCAAACAACAATTTGCATTCAATACTTTAAGCCTTGTAGGAAGGATTAATTTGTTTTCAATGGCCAAGAAGATTAGAGGTTTCCGTTCTTGGATTGAAGTAGCTCCAGCTCCCATCATTTATCCTCGTAAGCCTTCAAATTCTCCCCGTTTGGAGACCATAACCGAAGAGGGTAACGAGGAACACGATGAAGAAGATTCATAAGCTTTCCAATACTGCCCATTGGATCCTTAATTTTTATGGCTCTTTCGGGATTCAATTGATCACTGCTACTTCTGCGTTGCCAGGTTGAAGTTTCATTGCAGCAGCATTCTGACCTAGCAAAAGTCCATATTATTTAATGCCGCTGGTCTATATATACAGCCAACATGGTGTAAATTTTGCAGATTAGTTTTTTTATTATTATTATTTAATTTAGATTTGATTACAAATTCTCTCTTAAGGAAGAGCTATACATTAAAAATTCTATTTGGTGCCTTTGTAATGCATTTTTCTTATGCATCTGGATCTAGCTGATTAAAATCTGGAACCAACGACGAGGGGAGAGCGAAAATAAGTTACAAAATGAGGGGTGTGATCTAAAACTACATTATGCAATATGTCGTTTAACTTATATTATGGACGATGGGTCGTCCAAGTTGCCAGTCATTAGAACTGAGAAGAACTTGTTCTTTAACGAAAATGTGGCACTTTCTTAGCTACTTAAATAAAAGCAATATGCATTATATTTAATAATCGGTAAATAATGATACCTGATTATTTATTTTGTTTTTAACACATATTTTTCTCACTAATTTTCGCATTGTTGCTACTCGTTGAATTTAATAGTAAAACGTTTTGTATCAATGCTTTAATTTGTCATTAAGTCCTTTGTGATGAAATATTATAGGGTTTGGTTTTGCCTAATTAGCCACTAGGACTTTCCGTGGGTACTCAATTTAAAAAACGAGTGATAAAGTATCAATTGATGCCGCTGTCCAATGAATTTATAAATGTACAAATCCCTAGATATGTAACCAACATGGTGTAAATTTTACAAATTAGTTTTTTGTGTTTAATTTATATATATATTTGATGTCTTGTTGGATTAAAGTCAATGCATTTCTCTTATGCAAATAACTATCATGTAATAAAATTTTTTGGTACATGTGAATTTAAAAATAATCTAATATGGAATATATATTTTTTTTAAAAAAAAGAAACATAATTAAGGTTTTGCAGCCACTGCAAAACATTGAAAGCTAGACTTTCTCTCTTGCAAAAAACACAAGAGCAATTTAAAGAAAAAGCAAAGAATTTAGGGTTTTCATCTTAAAATATGAGCAATAATTTCTTGCTTATATACTAAAAAAATCACTACCCAATTCCTAGCCTTTTTCCTTTCCCATGTTTATGAGACAAGGCTCAATCAACTCTATTTCTATCTTTATTTATTAATGCAATTTCTTTATCTTATTTTTTTCTTAATTACTCGGAAAAAACAATGCTACATTAATTAAAGATTGCTGAGAGAAATGAGAAGAGCCAGACCTATACACAAAGCAGTCTCATCTTTTTTGCTATCTAACTATATTTGACAAAAGTTTTATAAGAAATAGAAATAACGAGCCCATACAACTTTTAAATCAAGTAAACAATGTCAAAGAAAGCATAGTTTGCAGAATGGAAGAAGACAAGATCCAAATTTATAATTGGCAATAAAAGGAATGACAGCCCCAAACTAATTTTTTAGGACCTTATATGGAGGAGACAATAAGAGGTCCATGAAATTCCTCTCACGACAACACATATAAGCTATTTTCAAATAAAAGAAATTAGATTTTGAATCTGTTCCTCATGGGAAGTGCAAAAACATCAAACAAATTTTGATTTTGCCATTTATCGTATCATTGCAAATTTCAACTCTCAAAGCCACATTACGGACTCAAAAATTCACCAAATTAAAAACGAAGTCAACCAAATTTCAATTCAAGAATCAAACCCAAGAACAATAAAGTAATATACATGACGTGAATTAATAAAAAAGAAAATTGAGATACTCACATCAAATTACACTTAGATTTGTTGTTGATTAGGATTCAAGATACTACACTTTTCTCTTCTCTTCGATTTTTACAAGAGACTGGCTTTCTCGTATTTTCAAATTGCTCTTGGATTTTTGGCAATTAGAATGAAAACCCTAACCCCCGGTCTCTTTTCTCTTTAAATTACTCTTGGATTTTTTACAATTACGATAAAAACCCTAATTCACTCATTTTCCCTCCAAATTCCTTTTGGATTTTTTGCAATAGAGAAAGCCTAGCTTTCAATGTTTTGCGATGGCTGCAAAACCTTAATCATACTTTTTTCTTTCTTTCTTTCTTAACTATTCTATGTCAAATTATTTTTAAATTCACATATACCAAAAAAAAAATTTAATATGGCATTTGAAGTTTATAAGGGATCGAGTAACTTATCGGCTTTCACTATTTATTTCTTGTATATTATAAAATTTTTTATTATGGAATCTATATTGTTGATATTTTAGTAGAAAACTAGTTAAATACACGTCTTACGCTGCAGTCAAACAATCGTTACATACGTAAGGTTAACGATTCCTATGATGCGGCATGAATAGAAGTTTTATTTCTTATGATTAATGTAAATCGAATCTATTTTGAGCAAAATCGTTTGATTTATATATATTTATTAACAAAATATTTGATAGTATTAGCATAAAAAATTGTATTTGAATAATTAGGAGGTTCTTTCAAAACATTATCTAACTAATTTTATTTTAAAAAAATTAGAATATGAAAAAATAAATAAAAAATAATTGGCATTATGTATGCGGATATATAGTTAATTTTTTTAAAAAAAATAATGATATATATATAGAAAAATATACAAAAAAATCCGCCTAAATTATATGAAATATATTGAAGCCAATAGATTAAAATAAAAACACTATAACAAAATTGATTTTAATAAATTCTGAATATATATATCATACTTAACGATTCAGAATATATAAAACAAATAGAAAAATATACAAAAACAAAAAAACGCACCTCAATTGTATGAAATATATTGAATTCAATAGGTTAAAATAAAAACTACAACAAAATTAATTCGATAAATTCTGAATAAATACATATAAAAAAGGCAATATATATAGCAGATTTAGATTATATAGAATAAATAGAAAATATACAAAAAAAAAAAATTCACCTAAATTTTATGAAATATATTGAAGCCAATAGATTAAAATAAAAAAACTATAACAAAATTGGTTTTGATAAATTCTGAATATATATATCATATTTAACGGATTCGAGTATGTAAAACAAATAGAAAAATATACAAAAAAAAGCACTTAAATTGTATGAAATATATTGAAATCAATAGATTAAAATAAAAACTACAACAAAATTGGTTCGATAAATATATATAAAAAAGCAATATATATATATATATGTGTGTGTGTGTGTGTGTGTGTGTGTGTGTGTGTGTGTGTGTGTGTGTGTGCATACTTATCGGATTCAAAGTATATAAAACAAATAGAAAAATATAAACAAAAATCCACCTAAATTGTATGAAATATATTGAAATCAATAAATTAAAATAAAAACTACAACAAAATTGGTTCCAATATATATATATATATATATAGAATTTATAAATTATAATAGTGTATTTTAAAAAATAAAAAACTCCTTTAAAAAGCATAAAAATAATTTATTGTATAAATTATAATAATATATTTTAAAAAAATAAAACACCAACGTTCTAAAATTTTATTCCAAAATTCACATATTAAAAAACAAAATTTATTAACAGATAAAATTATATCAAAAAATTAATTTGATGAGAACTTTAATAAGAAATAAATATTTTAAAAAATAAAATTTAAACAATAAGAGTAATATAATCAGATATATATGTTCAAACTATAATTTTAAAAAATATTATATATATTTTATTATCTTCAAATTGTACGTAAAACTAAGAAAATAATAATTTATTTTATATATTTTTCACAACTAATTTCTTGATAATACATATATAAATGAAAAAAAAATAAAAAGAGGCCAAGCTTGTGCCTGGTTGGCCTTTGCGGCCAGGATAGGCCATATATATATATAGGCTAGGCTCGCGCCTAGTTGGCTTGTGCTGCCAGGACAGGCTAACACGCTTAGGCCTACGAGTGTAGGCCCGCACGTCAGACCTTGGCAGCTGTTCAACCCAGAAAAAAAAAACAAAAGAATCAAATCAAAAGAACTGGGGTATAGTAAATAAAAAGTGATCATTCTTCACACACCCTAGTTCTTTTAGTTTTCTTTACAATGAGCTCAATACTCACGCGTTGTTGCGAATAAATTTATTACACAATATATTGTAATATTTTAAATAATTTAAAACTATATGTGTAAAATAAAAATTAATTGTAAAAAAATTATTTAATTTAATACATATTATGCAAATTTAGACCAAATTAATCCTCACTACAACGTTGCCTAACTTGGTTTAAGGAAATTCCTATTTTAAAACTCTTTCTCTGTCAGGCTCTGTTTGCTAGGAGTTTTTTTAAAAAAAGGTTTTCATACGTGTGCTAGATAAAATATTTATAGTGTATATTGATTAAAGAATAGTATGAATGATTAAAAAAATAAAAGAAACAAACAGTAAAAAAGAGAAGCATTAAATTATTTGACAAAGAAAATTAAAAGAAAGATGGTAACGGACATGAGCATTAAATACTCTTTCAAAAGAAATAAAAAAAAATAATGAACAAAATGGCAACAGAGCATTAAATGCTCTTCCAAAAGAAATTAAAAAAAATTGAATAAAATAGGAAGACCATTAAATGCTTTTTCAAAGAGAAATAAAAAATGATAAAAGAGACAAGGGCAAAAAAGAAAATAAAGATAAAATGTAGGAGTAATAGATAAACAATTTGTAAAACAGAAGAATAAGAGCTGGGAGAGTACACAAAATCAACAAATTGAACAACCATAAATGAAGAATATGAAAAATCAATGGCCCAGGCGTAAGAATAGTAGAAATTGGTGTTTAAGAATAGTAGAAATTGGTGTTTGTCCATAGTGAAATCGAGTGTACTTGAACAGTAAAGGAATAGTAAACTCATCGGATCTTTTAGTTTTTTAAGTAATGAAATGCCATATTTTCGTTAAATAACAAGTCGTTCTAACTAACCACTCGAA